TCTAGACCTGAGGCTTATGGGTTGATCTCGCCTTTAAGTTCCAATTTTTCCTCCTGCCCGGTGAGAACTTCCCCTAACATACTTTTTAAAGTGTCATTCTTGTCTAATTCACTCAATCTCGCTCTCAAGCTCATGCTAGTTATCAGTGTGATAAACCTTCATCTTGTAGTATTTGCACTACCTGATGGGTCCAGACCTCATTATCTTCGACTTGGGAGATGACGGAGGCAAATGTCGTGGGTGTGGGGCACTTCACACTAGATATGATCTTGGAGGGTATTGAGGGGCATGGAGTTATATATGGTCCTCTTACTACATTTAAAATTTGCCATATTTCTTACGAACGAGGTGTAATGGCTTATGCATTACTGCTCTTGCAATGAATCAAATTCATAAGAGGTATATTATTTCCCATCAAACGTCACCAATAAGGATGGTTTAAACCTCACCAAATCTCGTCAGAGACATTGGGGGTCCAAGATGTCTTCATGACATCACTCTTGAAGGGTCATGATGTTCTTATCCAAATCTTGGTTGGAGCATCACAACTCTTCCATAATAGTACACATCTCAACTAAGGCCTCATTGTCACTGGTGTTACTAACTGTTGTAGCACCTTGCCGCCTCACCATATTGAAGAAAATAACTAAGGTGAGTGGAGATTAGATGTAAGTTAGGCCTATGTTAGTTTTATTGAGATCCCCCACTGAACGCCAATTGTACTTATAAAAATACAATGAGAATGACTCTACTTATGAAGTTAACTACAAAAGGATTTATATGCTCTGAATACGTGAACATTGAATGAATCTTTCCAACTCTAGAGATTGAGATATTTATAAACAACAACATGGGTCAAATTATGGAAAAAAAATAGACTCCCTTTAACTTCCAACAAGTATATGGGAGTAGGGGAGAAACAACTCTTTCTTTAAGGATGGAAGACCAACTTTCTTTTTTGAAGGCATGACCAAAAATGACCCTTTGACGAACCCCTCATCTGTCGCATATGGAAGAAGTGGACTAGCGATAGATTGGGACTTGGATTAGGTGACCTAAGGTCGCGTCCTCCCGATTTCTCTAACGTCCCTTTCAAAACTACTTTGACAGATCAGACCATGAATTATTTTTCTCCATGTTCTAATAAAATCATTTCAGTATACTATCGTATCGTGTTGGATCAAAATTCTTTAAATTTTGTCATTTTCAATAACAATTTCTCTCTTTTCTTTTCTACTTAAAAATAAATAAAAACTGTTAAAATTATTTAGATGTAATAGAAAATTTCCATAATCTTTTTTTCATTAAAAAAAAAAAACAGGAAGAAGCTACACTTAAGTTAAACCAAAAAACAAAAAGGAAAAAATAGTACTACACGTAAACCATAGTTAGGCAAAGACCATCCTTAACCATACCACGCAGTTAAGACCAAACCAAATCAACCAATCAAGAAGCAACCTAACAGGACACATGTACGATCCTATTTCCTCACAACCGACTCAACTAAGTTGTTAGAATTTTAGGGTTCACTGTATCCAAACAATCCTTATCGTTACTTTCACCTGAAACTCACCGTTCTTCCCAAATTCCGTTCATTTTCCTCGTATAATCATGGAGATGGAGCGCATGGTTGAATTCTCACGCACTTACATGGATCGTCCCCCACGAAAAAGGGCGCGCTTGGGCTGGGACATTCCCGAACCCTCAAAGGTAATCTTTTTTTCTTCTTTTCATCATAAAATCTCAGATCTAGTGCTTTTTGAGGTTTTCTTTGTCTCCTGTTGTAGATCTGGTGGATTATTTATATTTTAGGTATGTTTGATGTTTGATTCAGGTAAAGTTGATTTTTTTACTCTTATAAAGCTTTCAGCTTTTATCTAACGATTTTGTTTGATTGGATTTTAGGTTTCCATCGTTTTATAGCGTTTCATCAACCCAAAAAAATAGTTTAATTATATAAATTTTTGTATAACTTATGTTGGTTTTTACTTTTTTGAAATTGTATGTTTTTATGTGTATTTGTTGTGTTACTTGTTGATGTTTATTTTGATGTTTATTTTGATGTTGTAGAATGGTTATTATTTATTTTGTGATGATTTGTGATGGGGACAAATGCATAGGTGCTGAAATCATGATGGTGTTTTTGTTAACTATTTTTGAAGTGGTACATGTATGGATTACTGTGTGTAGGCTCAGGTAGGATTGTTTTGTGGACAAGAGGTTGAGAATATTTCAAGCTATGCTCCTTCAGAACATATCACTAGTTCTCTATTTAAGGGAGTTGCTCGAAATGGTTCTCCCCCATGGCGAGATGACGACAAAGATGGACATTACGTGTTTGAGCTTGGAGATAATTTAACTTCTCGCTGTAATTACACTTTACCATCATTAGTTAATAACAAATTTACATTCATATCATGGTTGGTTGACTCAATAGTGTTTTAAAATTGAACTAGTCATTTAACTGAAAATTTTAGCCCATAGATCTGTATCCAATCCATAAACTTTCAAATGGGGGCTTAATTTTAAGAACTTGTTATTGTTACACCCTAAGTAATCCTGTTTTAGGTTTAGGAAGGATTTAATAACAATAACAATGCTGTGCACATTTCAAGAGATAGAACTGTTATGAACTTTGAATGTATAAAAATGGAATTTGGAGTTTTTCTGTGCTATACTTGGATTGTTAACACCCCATTTACATGATTACAGATAAGGTCCATGGAAAAATGGGTGAAGGAACATTTGGTCAGGTCTTGGAGTGCTGGGACAGAGAAAGGAAGGAAATGGTCGCCATTAAAGTTGTTCGGGCAATAAAAAAGTATCGAGAGGCGGCCATGATTGAAATCGAGATGCTGCAGCAACTCGCAAAACATGATAAAGGTGGCAATCGGTAAGAGTTTTAAGCTTTAATTGCTATATTTATTATACTGGAATGCACCACGTTTTATTCCACTGCATCGGTTAAATGGGTTTATTCCTTGCAGTTGTGTGCAAATACGGAACTGGTTTGACTATCGTAATCATATCTGTATTGTAAGTATTTGATTGATTTGTGTGGATTAATTTCCCCAATATACCTAATTTGGGGGTTAAGACGTGGGTGAATTCAAATGATTGCAACAGGTGTTTGAGAAACTTGGACCAAGCTTATACGATTTTCTTCGGAAAAACAATTATCGTTCGTTTCCCATTGATCTTGTTCGCGAGATTGGAAGGCAACTATTGGAATGTGTTGCATGTGTGTAGTTTATTCTTGAACAACTTTTCTTGAACTACTGTAGCTCTTATGCACAATGTGTGTTTTTGGTCAATGAAGGATGGTTTTCTAATGTTTTACTCTTAAAAAAATTGCAGTCATGCATGACTTACACATGATCCATACTGATCTGAAGCCTGAAAACATTCTTCTGGTTTCATCGGAGTATCTTAAAGTCCCTGATTACAAGGTACTTTTGTTGTCTATGAACCTGTTTTATTTTCTCACGGATTTTAGCTATTTTTGACATAATCATACTAGATGAGGCATGTTCAAATCTCATATTTCAAGATTTTTTTTTTGTTTGATGCATAAGATTTATCTTTTAAATGCTTATTGGTTATATCATCCATATGGGATTTTAACTTAAATAACAGTTGCCAAATTAATTGTTGGTTATAATATCTGACATCCATTGTTGTATATTCAACAGAGTTCATCCAGAGCACCATTCTCCTTTTTCAAAAGAGTGCCCAAGTCAAGCGCCATTAAGGTTATTGATTTTGGCAGCACTACTTATGAACGAGAAAACCAGAATTACATTGTATCAACACGTCATTATAGGGCACCTGAAGTTATCCTTGGTATGCATACACATCAAATAATAATTGCTGTATTGCAAAGAATGATGTTTCTTGTATATAATGCTTTTATAGTTAATAACCCATGGTGCTGTTGATACCAACTGAATAGTTGATTTTAATAATGATTTTGTAGGACTTGGGTGGAGCTATCCATGTGATGTGTGGAGTGTGGGTTGTATATTAGTCGAGTTATGCACTGTAAGTTTGGTTCTGAATACTTCTGATAAACATCAGCTAATTTTTGTTGTGTTTTAGTATTATGTTTAAATTGGTTCGTATGCTTCTACTGCAGGGTGAAGCTTTGTTTCAGACTCACGAAAATTTAGAGCATCTTGCCATGATGGAGAGGGTGCTTGGTCCATTACCACAGCAGTTACTGAAGAGAGTTGAGTAAGTAATTTACTGCAGGAACTTTCTACGATTGTTATTTTATTGGCATTGAAATAACTTGTGTTTCTTTTTATTGTTATGATTAGCCGACATGCTGAGAAGTATGTTCGAAGAGGGAGACTGGACTGGCCAGAAGGTGCAACTTCGAGGGAGAGTATTAAAGCTGTAATGAAACTTCCTCGACTGCAGGTTTGTTTTTAAATCTGGTCATGGAAAAGTTCTATTAAACTTCTGAAAAAGCAATGTTACCTAGTTCATGTTGGGCTTCACTTAATCTTTTTCTCTCTCGTAATAATTGCAGAACCTTATAATGCAGCATGTTGATCATTCGGCTGGAGATCTTATACATCTATTGCAGGGGCTACTTAGGTTTGACCCCTTTGAAAGAGTTACAGCTAGGGATGCTCTGAGACATTCATTCTTTATGAGAGATCACCTTAGGAGATGATTAGCCATTTTTAGAGGCCTAATGTCAAGTTGAATCTGTCAAAAGTGAAAAAATGAGTGCAGGGAGGAGGAATGCTTGTAAATAAATATTTATATTATCGGCTTGTCTGATAATTGGGGGATGTATACACCACAGCAGCAACTTCCCCTCTAAGCCTGCCTGACCCGAACCTTATTTATTTTAAAAATTTAAAGAACATGTAAACTTACAAACAACTAATTTGAGTGTGATATACAAGACAAATGTAGAATGTTTTGAATGCATTATATTCAGCTGTATGCATTACCCAGAAACCAACAGGGTTATTATTGGGAGCAAATCAATTAAATTTAAGAGTGACAGTTGTTATTAGGAGCAAATAAATTAAATAGTTATTGCTGATAAAATAATAGCAAAGATTATATATATTTTGTATGCAATATGATAAATACAATTTTAGGAAAAAGGCAGTTTCATAACCTGTTTTATAAATGAATATGTCAAAGAACAAACTCACATTTTTAACAAAGAAAGCAAAGTCAATAGTTTGAATGAGTCCTAATAATGAATTCCCAACAATGTTGGAACAACCATGATATATTACAAGTCCCGTGAAAAATGAAATGACAAGAATGGCTCCTCTACTATTCCCTCCTCTAAAACAACTGGCGTATGACATAATTTCAACAAAATACATTTTCTTCTGCTTCACTAGCCTTCTTCACCAAAGCGACCAATAATTGGCAATCTTCACTAACCAGGTACACCGCCACATCAATCTTTCCATGTACTCTCCAAAGTATGGACTTCTCAAGATGCCGAAACTAGGCCAAACTCCAGCTACTGCTACTGTAGTTTCATCTGTAGATGTTGCCAAAGAAATGTTCAAAAACCATGATGTTTTTTCTCCAACAAGCCTCGGAACACATCTGCAAAATCATTCTAGCACCTTATGGAGAAGAGTGGAAACAAAGAAGGAAGATCCGTGTCATTGAGCTTCTTAGCTTTAACAGGGTGCAATCATTTCATTTCATACGAGAAGAGGAAGTATAAGAATTGGTTGATACTTTATAGGAAGCACGTGCAAGTGCAAGTACAAGTAAAAGCTCTTATGTGGTTTATCTGAGTGACATGCTGACTGCAGCCTCAAACGTATGATACACCACATGGTAGTAGTAGCTTTGGACAGTTTGGCAGGAAGATAAGGACACGTTCTTACAAGCCAAATATCAGAACTTAAGGACACGTTCTTTACATAAGATTCTTTCTTTGATCAGGTGATTGCAAATTACAAGAGAATGAAGAACAGTGAAGATGGCCTATCAGATAAGAAGGACTTTGTGGAGATACTACAGATTTAAGATGGTAGAAACCATGATTTTCCACTTGTGCATTATAAGAATTTGGATTGGACCTGTTTAGCTCAACCTTTCTTAACTTGATATAAGCACTTATATAAATATTTGGGTGAATTCATTAAAATAGTTTGGGTGAATTTATTGAAATAGCATGTACATGAATTATTTTCAGTTTATTTTTATAAAATATATATGCCAGTTTATAAAAAACTTGTATTTTATATAAATCGGATCGATCAATTTTAAAAATCTAATTCTGAGCTTTACCCATTCAAATTGACAAATACGTATATTTTCATTATAGAGCCACACAACAAAGTCAAACACTCCCACTCAGATTGACGAATAAGTATATTTTCACTAAAGAGCCACATGATAAAGTCAAGGAGTGCGTCTATCTAGGCCATTGATGTCATTCCAATGATGTTTCACATCTGGTGCCAAATCCACCGACAATGGTTCTAATTGTCCTTCATATAAAATGGTGACTCTGCACCACGCCAAGATACGACTAACTCTATGCTTACAAGTTACATTTCTTTCACTTCACCGACTTGAGTGTTGAAGTGCTAACCCTGTAGATATACTCCATCTCTACTAACTATAGACTCCCTCTTACCAGAGAGCTTCCGCGATAAACTTCAATAATAAATCTTCTATTTTATGTTTCATATAGAAATAGTGGCACCATTTATGAGAATTGTTTCTTAATTTTCATGAAATTCCACTTCAATTTCCTTTGATTTTCTCCTTGCACCATCACAATCATTTCCGTCAGTCGAATTTGATCTCTACTAATTGTTATAATCATTAATAATGGTAGCTTCTGAAATCACTCAACCAACTGTTAGTCCAAACACCATAACATCAACATTTGTTGTCGCGTCAAAAAAGCTACCTCCCATGTTTGAAGTAGGAGCTTTAGCCTCAATTTCCTATCTTTCTACCAAGCCTTTTTAGTAGCTATACCTATCGGTGATGACGATGGCTTCTCTGCCCCTCTACCGTCGACAAGAATCATTTTCCTTCATCTCTTTAATCACAAGAAGATTATTCCACCTAAAAGAACCTCTGAAGAAAACCACGAAGAGACATGACGATTTCTTACCGTTCGAAATATATCTACAATCAATTAGAGTTCAAAGACAAAGTGAAATTTCGTCTAAACATTATTGAAATATGATGTTAGACGAATTAGTTGATTTTGATGAGGAATAATTAAGTGCTTTGGATGTGTTGAGAAGACAAAAAGAACGAGTAGCTAGAGCCTATAATAAAAAGGTTAAAATTAAGACATTCTCAGTGGGAGATTATATTTGGAAAGTTATTTTACCCATGAATCGAAAAAATAGGACGTTAGGCAAATAGTTCCATAATTGGGAGGCTCCATTCCATATTATTCTAGTATTCTCAAGTAATGCATGTGAAGTCAAACTTCTCAATTTGTTTTGATGAATACAAGATAACATGGAAGATTTGTAAAATGGAATGACTTAAGACATCTAGCATATCAACTTTAAAGAATTATCCAAGTCTTGAGTAATTCTATCATTTGATTGATCATATTATCTAAGGTATAAACATTCAACTCTCAAATATGTATACAAGTGTTCATAATGATAGGTTCATATTTCGCATGATCATTGAACATGTTTTGGTTGACAAAAATTAAGTTTCAAATAATTTTGGGCTGCAGGGAATCAATTACCCTTCCTGCTGTAACCGATTACCCCGTGTTTTTCTCACGTTCCCAGGCTTTTTCTAAAGGGTGTAATCAGGTACCCAATATGCAGTAACCGACTACACCTGAACAAAATTCAATTTTTTTGTAATGTTACATGGGATAACCGAGTACCCAATATGCATTAACCAATTACTCAACTAAACAGAGACAAAATTCTGAAACTTTTTATTTGAAATTTTTGTTTCTCTTGAAAATAAACTATTGCATTCTTTCAAGAATTATGCTCTTTTGTAGAGGTGTATAAAGGATATAAAAACTCTATTATTTCAGATTTAAAAATATCTTTTTCATCTACAACTCTAACATTTTCTAATCATGTCATCTTTCAAAATTCAAGTGTTTATAAAACCAGAATTTTTAATGAAATTTTCTGCACTTAGTTTTCATTGAAAATTAAGATAAATTTCATATCATTCATGAACACTTGTATTATATCATTGAGAAAGTTGTATGCTTGAAAGAGAAGATCAGTCAAGTGATTGATACATTGTCTATACCATTCCAAACTGTTATAAAAATTCAGGATACTTGTTGTGACCTTGCTGTCCAGGATTGTTAGAAGCAAGAGAGTCATTAAGGGAGAATTGTTCTCTTAGTGTACTTAGTGAAAATTCAAGAGAATTGTTCTTGGTGTTTTGGGTTGTCTTGTACAAGTTACCAACAATAGTAAAATCTCTTTCATGTTGAAAGGAGACTGGAGTACTCTCGGACTGTGAGGGGAACTAGAATATATCCTTGTGTCGTTTATTTTCTGCACTTTACTACTTTCATAAACTCACTATAAACTAGAAAAATAATCCAAATATCAACTAAAAACTGATAAAAATTTTAAGTACCTAATTCACCCCCCTCTTAGGTGTATCTCATACTTACAATTGGAATCAGAGCAGGTTATAGGTAACCCGTTCCTAAAGATCCAAAATGGCTTCCACAAATCAAAATTCAGTTTTTAGAGACGGTGGTAGTAATAATAAGCGTCCGCTATTTTGTGGTGAATACTTTGATTTTTGGAAAATTCGCATGAAGACTCATTTAGAAGCACAAGGAGAAGAAATATGGGATGCTGTCCAAAATGGTCCATTTTTTCCTACATGTGCTATCAACAGTGTTGGAACATCAAAGCCTAAAAGTGTATGAAATGACAAAGATAAGAAAAAGGTTCTCTATGACAAAAAGACAATCAATCTTATTCAAGGTACTCTTAGCATGGATGGATTTTTTCGTGTTTTGGCATACACAACGGCAAAAGAAATATGGGATACCTTGGTAGAAATTCATGAAAGAACGACTGAATTTAAAAGATCAAGATTAAAACTTTAAGTCAAGAATACGAATTATTCAGAATGTAGTCCAGAGACTCAATCCTCGACTTGCATAAAAGATTCGTGCATTTGACAAATCACTTGAAAGCACTCAGTAAGACATTAACTAACGATGAATTAAATCTTAAAGTGCTTAGATCTTTAACCAGAGAATGACAACCAAAAATGACGACAATTTCGGAAAAGAAAAGTCTTTCCTCAATGATTTCCACAACATTATTTGGAACTTCAAGAATATGAGACAGAACTCAGAAGACTTGAAAAACATGAAAATCAAAAGAAGAAATCCAAATGTATCACTTTGAAAGTAGATTCAAAAGAAAGTCAAGATAAGGATGCACCAGAGGAAGATGAAAACTTAATGCTTCTTGTAAAAAGACTTGGTAAGTTCTTTGGTAAGACTGGCAAATCTCCTTCTTATGCAAAAAGAAAGAAACATTTCAGAAAAAATGAGACTTCCACTTCAACACAAGATGTCACATGTTATGAATGTGGTAAGTAATATCACATAAAACCTTATTATCCGAACCTCTCCAAGAAAGGTGGCTTCAAAGACAAAAATTAATTTAAGAATAAAAGGCCTATATTTCATGGGAATACAATGAGATAAGTTCTTCATCCGATTCAGATAATGACGAAAGTGAAAATATAGCATTGATGGCTTCACACCATTCCAATGGTGAAGACGATGAGGTTAGTAATGAATTTTATCTTTATAATAATGATGCACAAGGTGCAATAGATGAACTCTTAAATGAATGCAAAATTCTGTACAAAACTATATCATTTCAAAAAAAAAAACAAATCTCATCTTTAGAAGTAAAAGTTGAGACAATGGAAAAGGATTTCAAAGATGAAAAACAAAAAATGATTAGTGATCAAAAACAAATTTCTGTATGCAATAATTATGAATTACTTTCTTTCCAAATTGTCCAATTAAAAAGAGTTCTTGAAAGATATAAAAAAGGATAAATTGGGCTGGAAGGTATCCTTAGTCAATAAAGATACTCCAATGATAAAAGTGGGCTTGGTTATTCAAAATTCTCAAAAACAAGTTCCAACAAAACTATCTTTGTTAAGACTAGTGACCAAACAACTCAAGAGAACATGATCAAACCTAAAGTGGTTCCTCATTATCCTAAAAAGAAATAATTTGTTAAGAAGAAATCTTATCCTCCTAGATATAAAAGTAATTTTGTACCTACTTGCTTTTATTGTGGTATTGTAGGCCATACACCTAATGCTTTCTATGTTAGAAACTTTAGTGTAGCAAGTATGTATTATATGTGGGTAAAGAAAGGTACTAATAATGAAGGACCCAAAGCAATTTGGGTACCTAACAAAAATTAATTTGTTTCGTAGGTATGCTTGAAGACCACATTAAATCTATGGTATCTTGATAGTGGTTGTTCCAAGCATATGACCAGAGACATCAACAAATTTTCAAATCTAAGCTTAAAGCCAAGGGCTATGTTACGTATGGAGATAACAACAAAGGAAAGATTCTTGGTATAGGCAAATTTGGTGCACCATATTTCATATCCATTGAAGATATTTTTTATGTTGAAGGACTAAAGCACAATATTCTTAGTATTAGCCAACTTTGTGACAAAGGCTTCAAGATCAAGTTCACCAAAGATGAATGCTTGATAGAAGATGAAGTCACACATGTGGTTAAACTAAAAGGTAAAAGAGTTAATAATATATTTACAATTTCCCTTGATGATTTATCTTTTAAGGTAAAATGTATCATGGCAAACAACAATGAATCATGGCTTTGGCACAAAAGAATTGCACATATTCATATGGAAAATTTGAATAAACTAATCAAGCATGATCTTGTAATTGGATTGCCTAAGATAACATTTATCATAAATAGACTTTATGGTGCATGTCAAAAAGGGAAACAAACTAAATCAACTTTAAAATCTAAGAATATGGTGTCCACTACAAGGCCACTACAATTATTGCATATAGACTTATTTGGCCCATCAAGAATAAGAAGCTTTAGAGGTAATATATATGCTCTAGTTATTGTTGACGATTTCTCTAGATACACTTGGACATTATTTTAGTGCAGAAAAGTGATGCATTCAAGGCGTTCACGAAATACACAAAGCAAATTCAAAATGAGAAGTCACTAACTATTGCCTCCATAATAAGTGATCATGGTGGAGAATTCTAAAATGCTTCTTTTGAAGAATTTTTCAGAGAACATGAAATCTCTCATAATTTATCGGCACCAAGGACTCCTCAACAAAATGGAGGGGTGGAAAGAAAAAATATGTCTCTTGTGGAACTTGCAAGAATAATGCTTAGCGATTCAAATCTTCCAAAGTACTTTTGGGCGGATGTAGTAAGCACAACGTGTTTTGTAAGTAGTAGAGTTAATATTAGACCTATTTTGAAGAAGACTCCATATGAACTCTTCAAAGGAAGGAAACCAATTATTGCTTACTTTCACATCTTTGAATGCAAATGCTTTGTCTTAAACAATGACAAAGATAATCTTGGTAAGTTTGATGAAAAATCCGATGAAAGTATTTTTCTTGGCTATTCTATTTTTAGTAAGGCATATAGAATTTATAACAAAATAACTTTAACAATTGAAGAATATATGCATGTATCTTTTGATTAATCCAACCCCTCCAGGGAGGATATTATTGTTTTTAATGATGATGATGATATAGTAGAAGTTTGTCAAGAAAATTCTTCCAAAGTCATCAATGAGGATCAACCGAAACAATAAGAAGAAGTTTCACAACAAGATACAAATAATAATGATCTATCTCAAGAATAGAGAACTCACCGTGATCATCCAATTTACAAAGTAACCAGTGATATAAGCAAAGGAGTTTCAACAAGACAAAATCTAAAATCTGCTTGCTTGAACATGGCATTTGTCTCTCAAATTGAACCTTCCAAAATTTATGAAGCCTTAGGAGAAGACCAATGGATAATTGCTATGCAAGAAGATTTAAACCAATTTTAAAGGAATTAAGTGTGGGAACTTGTCCCTAGGTTAAGCAATAAACACATCATAGGAACAAGATGGGTTTTTAAGAACAAACTTGATGAAAATGGTATAATTGTTTGAAACAAGGAAAGGTTGGTGGATTAAGGTTATAACTAAGAAGAAGGAATTGATTTTGAGGAAACTTTCGCTCCGGTTGTAAGGTTAGAAACTATTCGTCTTTTACTTGTTTATGCTTGTTCATTAAATTTTCAGCTTTACCAAATGGATGTCAAAAGCACATTCTTGAATGGATACATTAATGAAGAAGTCTATGTCAAACAACCCCCGGGATTTGAAGACTTCAAGAATCCTTTACATGTCTGTAAGATAAGAAAAGCTCTTTATGGTTTGAAACAAGCACCAAGAGCATGATATGATAGATGTAGTAATTTTCTATGAGAAAAGGGTTTGAAAAAGGTAAAGTTGATAAGACCTTGTTTATTAAGAAAATCAAAGGTAACACTTTATTGATTCAAGTCTATGTTGATGATATCATCTTCGGTTTAAAAAACAAAGAAATGTGTGAAGAATTTTCATTGATGATGCAAGGAGAATTCGAGATGTCTATGATGGGAAAGATGAACTATTTCCTTGGACTTTAAATTAAGAAACTAAAAGATGACATCTTCATTAACCAATCCAAGTATTACAAAGAATTATTGAAAAAGTTTGATATGGATAGTTGCAAAGTAATGAATACTCTAATGAACTCTGATACTTATGTTGATCAAGATGAATCCGGTGTTTCCATTGATACTGTAAAATATCGAGGTATGGTTGGTTTCTTATTATATTTGATGACAAGCCATCCCGATATAATGTTTAGTGTTTGTCTTTGTGCTCGATTTCAAGCAAATCCAAAGGAATCACATCTCATGGCGGTAAAGCGGATCATGAAGTATCTTAAAGGAACAACAAATGTCGGCTTATGGTATCCAAAAGGTAGTTTTTGTAATTTAATTGGTTATTTTGACGCGGATTATGCAAGTTGTAAAAATGATAAAAAAATCACGGGTGGTACTTGTCACATTCTTGGAAATGCATTAGTATCTTGAGCTTGCAAGAAATAAGCATGCACTGCTTTTAGCACAACCGAAGCAGAATACATAGCAGTGGATAGTTGTTGTGCACAAATACTTTGGATTAAGCAACAACTTCGTGACTACATACTCGACCTTTGATGCTTTCCTCTAAGTTGTGACAACACTAGTGCGATCAATATTATAAATAATCCGGTCATGCACTCAAGAACCAAACACAGTGACATACAACATCATTTCCTTCATGATCAGATGCTTCAAGGAGATGTCGAAGTCACCTTCATAGATACTCATAATCAATTATCATATATCTTCATAAATCCTCTAACAAAATAACCTTTTTACAAAATTCGACGGAAGCTTGGGATTTTAGATGAAGATGATGTATGATTCTTCCAAAATTTGTATTCATTAAAATTCTAATGAATAAAAGATACACTCTTCTCTAAATATTTTTATGACATATTTTTATAATAAAAGGTTGCATTATATTATATCTTAACATGTCTATATGTTATATTAAAAAATTTCATTCCATATTTTGAGATTTTAAGCTATTGTTTTCTGCTGCGTTTGGTAACCGGTTACAGCATATAGGGTAACTGATTACCCTTCCTCGTTTTTGACTTTGCTGGCCTGGCTGTGAGGAGGGAACCGATTACTCCCCCTACTGTAACCGATTCCACCTACTGTTTTGCTGAATGTGATTTTATTTAATAACATGTTCTTTTTGATATTTTTTATAAATTATTTCTTTTGTCTCTTGCATAGGTGTTTATAATCTTAAGTCAATAAATGTTGTCACTTTCCAACACTCTCTTTATTTCTTCATCCTTAAAACTTCTCTCTAACTCCTTCCAACTTCTAGAAACTTCTTCCAACTTCTCTCATTCAAATCTCTTCCACCCAAATTAAAACCCACTCATTCAAACTTATTTATAACCATCCCTTATCTCAAATCAAAAGTCACAAAATCTTCCTCCTCCTTAGAAATTCGAAAATCCCCTTTCCAAAACCTAACTATCATCTTCTCCAACTTCATCCATAACTTCAAGGAAACTTAAGGGCAAAAGCAAAATTGGTGAAACAAGCTCTGAACAAGATGAAAACCTCTTGCATGATCCATCAACAGAAGCTCAAAGGCTCACCATCAATATTCAGACTCGACCATTTTCACCGGAAAAATATGGTAATTCACCATCTTTCCTTCTTATAGCTTTGATTTTCGGGCTCTGTTAAGTTTTCAGAAGGTAGATGGTTTAGTTGCTGATCATGGGTATATCTACCCAGATATGGTTCGAGAATTTTATATGAACTTTAACCTTATTCCTGGTCAAAATGATGGTGAAGATGTTGTGCTGACTTCTAGAGTAAAAAAGACAGATATTTGCTTGGATTTAGAAACTTTGGGAAAATGCTTAGGGATTCTTCATTCGGGTCAGATTTTGCATGCTGGGACTATTTCTGGATATCCTGATTATAATTCACTTAAGTATTATTTTTCAATTTGTTGGGTGTCTAAACCAGAAGCTATAGGTAAGCAAAAACCCTCCTCGTCCAGGTTTATTATGTATGCATCCAACTTATCTGTCAGTGATCGAATATTGCACTTTATTATTGCTTATGTGCTCATGTCTAAATCCTCTAACCTGCCCTGCATTGGAGACCATGAATTACACATGTTGTATGCCTTGAAAAATAAGATTCCTATTAATTGGGCTTATGTTATCATGTATCACATGAACCATCTTCAACAGTTAAGTGATAGTTTACCTTATGCTTGATTAATCACTAAAATCTGCAACATTGTAATATTGATCTGAAAAGAGAACCTCGCGAGGACATGGATGTGAAGGATTATGATATTAATGACAAAATTGCTTTGAGGAATACCGACATTGTTTTAGACCGAAATGGAAAATTTCAGTTTCAGGCTTCTTATCGTCCTCCTCCAATTCTAGCTGATGGATATTCTCATGAAATGACTTACAACAAGATTTTCTCCGTTGAAGCAACTATGATGCGTCATCACCAAGAGAATAAATTTGAATTCACTTCTTTGAAAAGGATGATGATAAATCTTCTTAAGCAAACCCGGAAGAAAAATGTTCAAGAGGAAACTCAAGAGAGTGGTGAAGAAGAAGAAGAAGAAGAAAGTGGTGAAAATGAAGAAGTGGTGAAGATGATGAGACAAAGTAGAGAACATCTCGGAAAGTGGCTAAACATGTCATTTATATTACTTATGCTATTATGTTTTTCAATTTCCTTTTCCAAGTACTTTTTTTTATCCATATTTTGTTTTGAATAATGTTATGTTTAATTTGTGTTGTAAGACTTCAGTGTGTGACTTGTGATGTTTTAAATTATGAATTGTGTTTGTTTTGTGGTTATGTTTGTGTGATAACTCTTAACATACATCATGTTTTCTTTTTTTTATCTTCTTTCCTCATTCCTTTCCCCTAATGACAAAAGGGAGAAGGCTTAGTGTATGTATGTATGTATATTTAACTAACAAAATTGTAGCAAGCAAATTTCAAATGGACTCTCATTCATGAATAAGGGGGAGATTTGATTTAGGGGGAGTCTTCAAGATTAGAGGAATACAAGATTGGATCAAATTTCAAGAAAGGGTTGTCATCATCAAAAAGGAGAAGAATGTGAAGTCAAGCTTCTCAATTTGTTTTGATGAAGACAAGCTAACATAGAAGATTTGCAAAATGGAATGGCTCAAGACATCTAGCATATCAACTTTAAAGAATTATCCAAGTCTTGAAGAATTCTAACATTTGATTGATCATATTATCTAAGGTATAAACATTCAACTCTCAAATATGCATACAAGTGTTCATAATGATAGGTTCATATTTTGCATGGTCATTGAACATGTTTTGGTTGACAAAAATTGAGTTTCAAATAATTTTTTTAGTTTTTAAAAAATTCTGGGCTGCAGGGAATCAATTACCCTTCCCGCTGTAACCGATTACCTTGTGTTTTTCTCACGTTCTCATGCTTTTTCTAAAGGGTGTAACCGGGTACCTAATATGCAGTAACTGGTTTCACCTGAACAAAATTCTAATATTTTTGTAACGCTACAGGGGGTAATCGGGTACCTAATATGCAGTAACCGGTTACCCAATATGCAGTAACCGGTTACCCAACTGAGCAGAGGCAAAATTCTGAAACTTTTTATTTGAAAATTTTGTTTCTCTTGGAAATAAACTATTGCATTCTTTCAAGAATTATGCTCTTTTGTAGAGGTGTATAAATGATATAAAAACTTTATTATTTCAGATTTAAAAACACATTTTCATCTACAACTCTAACATTTTCTAATCATCTCATCTTTCAAAATTTAAGTGTTTATAAAATCAGAATTTTTAATGAAATTTTATGCACTTAGTTTTCATTGAAAATTAAGATAAATTTCATATCATTCATGAAAACTTGTATTATATCTTTGATAAAGTTGTATGCTTGAAAGAGAAGACCAATCAAGTGATTAATACATTGTCTATATCATTCCAAACTCTTATAAAAATTCAGAATACTTGTTGTAACCTTATTGTCTAGGATTGCTGGAAGCAAGAGAGCCATTAAGGTGGATTGTTCTCTTAGTGTACTTAGTGAAAATCCAATAGGATTGTTCTTAGTGTTTTGGTTCTTCTTGTACAAGTTATCAACAATAGTAAAATCTCTTTCATATTGAAAGGGGACTGAAGTACTCTCGGACTGTGAGGGGAACCAAGATATATCATTGTGCCGTTTATTTTTCTGCACTTTACTACTTTCATAACTCACCATAAACCAGAAAAATAATCCAAATATCAACTAAAAACTGATCAAAATTTTAAGTACCTAATTCACCCCCTATTAGGTGCATTTCATATTTACAATGCATATGAAATCGAAGAGCTAGTAGCATATCAAGAAATCGTGAGAGTTAATGGAAAGTATTTGAAAAAATACAAACCCATGCTTTATAAAGTTAAAATATCGATGGAATAACATATATGCAAGTGAGATTCCAAAATAGTGTTTTAAATAAAGTGCTAAAATGGCTAAAGTCATTACAAAATAAAGTGAAAAATAGAAGTCGCAATGCCACAAGGACAAAATTCAGGGTTACAAAATAAATCAAGTATGGAGAAAACGATTACAAATTCAGAAATGTGAAGAGGACTTGAGTAGATTGTATTGTGCTTTAGCCACAATCAGGCGAAGGTTGGTTAAAGAAATTTATGAAGTAAGGGTGGTGATTTCGTCATCCAAACTTTTGACCCTTTTGACATGATGTATTCCAAACACAGTCTCTTCATCAAGCAATTTTTGATCAAGGCTGAGTATTTCTTTCCGTCGATCTCCAGCTTTTTGGATTATGTATTTTAACCCCACTATCAGTTGCTTCTATTTGGAAATGTCAGTAGTGCAAGTTTCAAACTTTTCGTTACCTTATTGAAATATTTCTCCAATTCTTCAACTTTGTTAATTGTTTTGGCGGATAAAGCCCATTCAGTTGACCTAGTCTGCTATTTGTTTTGTATTTTGCTTGATGTGTCTTGTTTTCGAATAATATCAACAAAAACATGATCAAATAGGAGACCAAGTTCTACCACGAAGCCAACAACTTCTAGGGGAATATTTAAAACATCTATCTGTTTGAGAAAACTTTTCATCCCATAAGAAGCAGTGGTGTTATTTTCCAAGGTTTGGAATAAGTCTGCATCGAAGAATTTCTCTTTAAGTTGTTGAAGGAGTTTTTCAACAGGTTTCACAGTTGAATTTCCACCGGAGACCGTCGAAGAACTTGAGCACTTATTAGTTGAATTTTCTCTTGCACTCATCATCAACCTTAAATAATCAGAATGTTTATTCTTCTTAAGATTATCTTGTTCTTCTCGTGATAAAGAAGTAATGGAAGCCTTGGGAGGAGATTTCAAATTAGAGATTATGCCAAAAGTTTTATTGGCCTCAAGCGCAACATCTGGTTGGACATTATCATTGTTTGTCCTATCTGTTGCACCCTAAAGTTTTCCCTCTTCATTTTGGTCATTTGGCTTATGCTTCATCATATACATTCATACATTCTCATGGTAAGGATTAGGGTATTCAAGTTCCCAAGTTCTTCTACAAAGCTCTAGAGGATTTTTGCTTGGTCAGTCAGTGTAAAAGAGGATTTCATATTTCCAATCTTTAAACTCTCTCAAAGCTATAAGGTTTTCTTATATCAGTGGTGTAATACAGTGGGAGAACTGACTTGGTTGTTTTGCGTTTGATTGCAATTGTTGCGGATAGCAAGAGTCGCCACTGAATTTTCTTTTATCCAATAAGGAAAGGGTAAAAAGAACAGGAAAGACCTTTGAGATATTTTCTTGAGTTCGGGGGGTAGGTTATGAAAAGGGAAGGTGTTAGCACCCTTTTCATCTATAGTTATCTATGTGCTCTTAGTTGCTTGCTAGATCACTTGAAAATTGCTTGGTTTGAAATGTGTTTGTGGTGGATTTTAAAAGTATTTTTGAAAAGCGCCATCGTTTAGGCAAATTTTGTAATGATTATCGTCTATATAAGAATGCATACAAAGTATTGGACTTTTTGAAAATATTTCATGTTTTGAAAGTGTTTGGTGTGTTTGAAAAGATGTTTATTTTTGAATATGGATTGTGAGCAAGCTACTAAGAACATTCTACCTACTCAAAAGTCTTTTATTCATTTCTCTCTTCCTTTGATATTGCTATCTTACAATTGATTGGTAAGTAACCCTATCTTTGGATGTAAAGGGACGGGCGTGGGTCATCGTATAGTCATGGATAACAATGTTGTAAGATATCTTAGCATTTTTCTTAAGGGACTAAGATCATTTATAAGGCAACATTCGTAGCGTCATCGAGGATCTTTGATCTTGTATTTTGTTTGTTTTTGCTAAGATGTCTCACATGCGTAACATGAAATTTTTTAAGGCAACAAAGTGGAGTAAACCCTAGAGGTGCAAAGTGTGCAAGTGTATTGTATTTCATGCTTAAGTATATCTTGGATTAGGGTTTTCTAAGTATTGGTTTTGTCTTTTCATACAAACCCTAATTAACTAGCACTTATATGAAAGCGGTAAATTACAAAAAGTAAATATCCTACACTATTACATCATTTGGGGATGGGGACACAATTTACAAATGGGGGATGAAATCAATAAAGTCCTAATTATACTATTACAACCATATTGAATATTGCAAGATAAAAGGTGCAAGAATATAAAAACAATGTGAAAGGAAAAGAAAATTGTTTTTTGTTTATGAAAAGTCTTGATTTAATTAAACTAATAAAAGGAAAGAATTTAATTAATTAAAATACCTAAATTCTAAGTTGATTTAATTAGAAAAGAAAGTTAAAGCAAAAACTAAGTTAAAAATTAATTTAATCAAGAAAATAAATTTGTTAAGAAAAATATTTTTTTTATAGTTTTTAATAAAGAAAAAAAAACCTAAAAGATGCCACTTTGAATAAATCATGATTAATGAAAATAAAAATATTTTTGGTGAGATTTTTATATATTCATAAAATATACCTAATAAACTAGTAGTGTGCAAAAAATTAGTTCAAAATGAGTTAATTTGACGGGTTAAATAAATTGTTGAAGTTTGTTAAAAATGTAAAATGAGTCAAGTGATAAAAATAAGGTTTTGGTCTGGCTAAGGCTTGAACTCAAGAAATTCAATTTGTTGGCTCAGAAGAATACCACTAGGCCAGGCGTGTTTTCTTGTCAACTATGCGCTTGCATGACATTATATCAGAAGATTGCTTTCTGAATTCCCAAAAATCACAAAAATAACACAAAATATGCAAAATGGGGGAGTTCACTATGATTCAAACCCGCGCCCTTAGGATAAGAAGTGACATGAAACACGCGCTGCTTGTCACTAGGGTGGCTGTTACATATATTAGTGAAACAATAATCATTAAATATAAAATGAACTTAGATGTAAAAATTTGAAAATGGCCAAGCCCTCCTTCTTCTTCCTCCTGCATGCTAACAATTATTGTAATAACATATATTTTCCATTTTTTCAAAAAACTCTAACTTCCTCATTTCTCAACCAAATTCAAAAATGTAAAAATGAAACTTGTTTAGAATTTAGTAAGGATTTAAAATATGTAATTAGTTTTTATTTATTCTCACTATAACTCATGAATTTCTATCTGTACCAAACTGAAAACCTAAATGTCCAAAAAATTCAGTTTCAAAATTCTTATCCCACAGTCAACTAAAATAAAACTTAAGGATATGATTAGCTTCATAGACACGATATCTACATTTTA